CCAATAGGACCTGCACTGAGCCATGCCAACGGTAACTTACTGCTTTGTGGTCGATTTGAGTCGTCGTGAAGTTGGTAACGTATTCGGAAACATACGAAGAGAAACAGCATTCGTTCCAGGGATAAGCAGCTAGAAAATCACGGAAACCGTTCCAGTTGGCTGTGTTTCAATGCCAGAATGTGTCTCTAGGTGGGTTGTGGCTCGGAGTTTGAAACCTAATAGAACGAGAAACAATACGGCGATCTGATGAGTCAAGAGGAGCGAGGGTACCAATATATGAGAAGATAGAAGAGACCGCCTGTTGTGCGAAGAACGTATCTCGATAATCTGGTGCGCTCCAGTGGCTTAGAGTAGTAGGATCCTGGATTCGATTCTCCGACACGCAGCAAATATCGGTTCCTAAGGTTTCCACTGTACGAGCCAGACAAGCTTGTTGACCTACCTGCATCATGGTTCTCACGTTGAAGGCACCCAGATTCAGTGATTGACGAGGCTTCAGAATCTGCAATTCGTTTCTTGATAAATTACTTATGACCTTTGGCGAGCGACTTCCAAGTTGGTTGATGGACTATTACAGGTTGGAAGGAGGAGCAGATAGAGAGGGCTAGGTGCTGAAGACAGAGAATTAAACAAAGGTTGGGATATCTGAACAGTAGCCCACTAAACACCACCCACCCCGCTCGATGCAATGGGCAGCGCGGTCCTAATTATCCTGCGCGACGACCGATGTAATATGGAATTTTTTGTTTGTGTATGCATTTGAGTTTGATGGACTGGTACTGCTAGGGTGTCCAGCCATTGATCAGGAGGACGATTAGGGTTCTCGTCCAAAGCTTTTAGTTCTGACAAGAACCTAACCGCAAGGCAACGGGTGAGGCGAAATGGAGACCCTTTAACTTGGATCGATTACTCCTCTTCTATCTTTTACCGTCTTAAGCGTATATTTCAGTCGAACCCCCAACCTGGGGATCAGAAGACTGGATTTCGTCTGACCTCTACCCACTGACCTTCCTGGCATGCTAAGATCTCCTGGCTTTATAAAGCCATCCTGTGGCTCGTTGGGTCAGAGGTGCACAAGCTATCACATCACGTCAAGGTGGAGTCTGGTCGTGATGGTCAGTGCTTAGTGTTTGTAAATTATAATTGAATTAACGCTGACACAATATTCTTAGATTAAATCCCTTGTAATCCGGAAAGGGACGAGAGCAGCATTGTCTGGACAATTTTATGCGGTTCTTTTTATTCAGTGTATTCGCAATCTTTCCTATGGAAATACTTCTTTCACTCCTCTTATTCATAATATTTCATCCCATTTAATCACATGTTATATGTAATGTACCTTTTGTTATTTTTGTTGCAAAATCCTCGTCACTTGTCTATATCCAACCTGTTCACCATTGTTATTGGCGCCAGGTCAGTGCCTTATCGACCGAACTGGCCAGATGCGTGCTTTGGCCGATGATCATGGTGGTTCTTCTTCCCTATGTCTATCAAAGCCTGAAC